TGTCTTATCCTCTGTTGAATGGGGACCAAGAAATTAAAACCATGTCTTTAATTCTGAAATAATGTTATTGTTTCTACTAATGTTCTTTCCCCTGGAAGGCTTTTGTTTGTGTCTCAATCTCTTAGTCTCTCCCTCTCTTTCTCCCTCTTTCTCTCCCTGTTTCAATCTCCCAGAAGAATTAGCCACTTACCTCAACCCCTACCCCAATAATAAGCTCAATGTGAAGCACCTAGCTTTCTCCCAAAAGCAAGGTAGAGATGCCATTCTAAGGACAATGCATTTGATCTTTTGTCCTTGGATATATTGCATATGCAGTGATGTGACCATTTCATTTCTTAGAGGCCTGCCCCCCAGAATCACTTATACTGAGCACTTTAAAACAATCTTTCTTAATTGTATAGGATCTTGGATTTGCCCAAATCACCTGTGGTAGAAATAGTTTCACTGTGACATCAGAGTGTCTTACACTTGGCTGAGAATATTCGTGTTAGAGAATTCTGTAGCATGAAGTATGGTGGCATCAGACAAGTAATGTTTTACTTAAAAAAAAAAATGCTGACTTGAAAGGTTTGGTGTAGCATATTTTCTAATTTACTTCCCTCACTTTATCCCTGAGCCATTTCTTCATTTGTTTACCCATGTGTTTGAGCTTCACTGAGTGTAACATGTGCTGGCACAGTGTTGGGCACTTGGGACGTGACCCAGCATTAGCTTCCAAGAAACTTGCCACCCAAAGGGGGAGAGAGGTGAACAACAGCAACAGCATGTGAAAAAAATCACTCGCCGAATTTGCTTCTGATTCGACACTGTTAATATTTAAGCTGCAAAGAACTAGTGTAAGATGTCTGCTGTTATTTTTAACTTTTTTAGAGGGAAAGGCCAGTTAAGGTTCAGAAACTCTTAAAAGTCACTTTATGTGCTTGGGAGCACTTTATGGCTAGACACAGAAACAGGTTGAGTGTCCAGCTGGCCACGTGGTATGATTTAAAGCTGCACCTCTTTCCCCAGCATCCCTGCAACAGTATGATACCTTATTATTCTTTGTAGTTAAGTCTTCCAAGACTTGTATTAAAATGCAGATACTTTTAACCCTAATGTCAATATCATAATCTAATACTTTAATAATTCTTTTAACAAAGTAAACACATTTTGTCTAAGTGTTCCTTCTGGCATTGCAGGTAGTTTTTGAAGGGTGCCTGAGGGAAGAATTACAAGCACAGGGTGTGGAATTTGGCTTGCTACAGTTTAAAAATCTAGTCCTGTGGAATGTATTGAGTATCTTTTATATGCAGGACACAGTCTACTACCTTGGGGAGGGATTCCAAGAAACAAAGACACAGTATCTGGCTATAAAGAGTCTATATTCTCTTAGGAAAAATAACGCATCCGTGTGTGTGAATATCTGATCATGTGATAACAAATAGTGCCAGGCAGAGAGCAAATTTCGAATCCAAAGTAACACTGAAATGTGATATAAGGATTTGAGACAAGTAGACCCACTTCCAGCTGGGCTGATACAGGAGCAGTATCACAAGGTGGTGAGATTCGGACTGGGCTTGGAGATGACAGCAAGGATTTGGGCAGAGAGCGGAGCAAACACATGAGGGCAGGGCGGGGGGGATAGACCAAGTGGAGACAACAGTCAAGTGAGTTTTGGGGATAATGAGTAGATGGAACTCTTTGGCATGAAGGGGCAATAGAAGGAAAGAGTGGGAAAGTATATTGGGTACATGGCGGAGCATCTCCAGTTCCTTCCTGACAAGTTCAAACAGACTTCATTCCAACAGGCCTTGGGGAGTCAGGGAAGGAGAATGAGCAAAAGAGTGACATGATCAAAATTGTGTTTGAGATCATCCCAGCTTAGTGGCGGAATGCTGAATGGATTCATGGAACTTTAGAATCAGGAGGTCAGATGTGAGGCTATTAAAGTTGATAGAAATAAAGGATGTGACTGTAAAGGTAGAAAGGAAGTGACAGATGTGACAGTCACTGGGAAAGAAGGATCACCTGGACTTCAGTCTTCTTGCTATAAACCACCACTTTATTAACGTGAGAAATCAGAGGCAGTGTAGCCTCGCCATTATTCGTGTGATTGTCTGTTGGGTCAGGGTCAGACACACCTGGCTCAAATCCCCAGGTCTTCACTTATTAATTTTGTGACATCAAGGTTATTTAACCTCCCAAGCCTTAGTTTTTCTCATGAGTTAAATGAGGAGAAGCATACATACCTCAAAGGGTTGTTGCAAAAATCAGCTGAGGATAAGATGATTGCTAAATAAAAGGCAGGTGTTCAAAACATTGCTGTATTCCTTGAAAGAAGTAAAGCCAGAGCTTAATCTGAGAAGTAGCTGTATTTTTACAGACTTTGAGGCACAAGACTGTTGTTTTCATTTTTTCTAAGCAGACTAACCCAGTCCCTAACCACGTGTCCCACCCCCTTGTCATTTTCCCTCTCCCAACACACACAGTGGCCCAGTGATACTGTATCTCTGTACTTTAGTGTCTGACCACGTGCTCTGAATGTGTCATTTCTTCCTCTTTTGTTTTCTGAACTAATAGAAACAAAGGCATTTATTTTAAACTTAAATAATGTGCCTTGTTGTTGTTTGGCAAATAACATGGGTTTTTTAAGAAAAAAAGTCATGGATACCTATCTGCTGCCTGGCACTGGCTCAGTGATCTTCATTTTTCAGTTTTTCACAAGTTGTGTATCAGGTGCCGTACAAGGCATTGCAGGGGATTTATAAAGATGGTCAAAGAGGTACTTCATAGTGGACCTGACATACATTGGTTGATAGAGTTTAGAAAGAGAGAGACTAGTTTCATGTCTGGTTTTATGATGTGAAATATGGGCACTCGGAACTGGGGCCTATGAAGCACAGGAACTGGGTTTCCGGGGAGCAGAGAGGGAAGAGAGTTGAGACTGCTTATCCTTCAGTCTTGGTGAGTGGGAGAGGAGGGAAGAAGATGGCAGGACAAAATGGGTGATGCATGGAGCCGGTAGCATTTGGTTGAGGTCCTCTGATTATACGACTGCTTTATTTATAAGGAGATGATACAAAACATTCTAAGAAACTGAGCTTAGCCTCTGCTGTAAGGTTCCTTGTGTCATTCATGGGCTTCTTAAAATGACAGTCAAGAGATAGTGCTTTCTAGTCCGGAGCTATTGGCTATTTTTATTGTATGGACACCGTGAGTTCTCTCAGTGACCAGGTACTTGTTTTCACATTGGCTGATAGATACCTCGATTGAAATGCGTGCCCACTGTTGTAAGAATAGCCTCCTGCAATGTGTTTTTCTATGAGCCTTAATTCTAGCTCCATTATAAATTCCCATTCTTGTTCCTTGCCCTTCCCTTCCCCATCCTTTTCCCCTCTTTGTCACATCCATGTAATCAAGATGTATCTTATATACATCTGCCTCAACTGCCGCAATTCCTTTCTGGAACAATGAAGAGAGTAACAAAAGGAAGAATGGCTTCCTCAAAAGTTCATCCTTTTCCTGGGACTAAGTCTGTGCAAAAAGTAACAATTGAAGTGCAGAGGGAAAGAAAGGAAATGAAGCTGTGGGAACAAGTAGCCCATGTTTTGAGTGACCATATTCTTGGGCAGGGCTCTGTGGCTTTGGGGAAAATTGCTCTCTTTCCCCAACATCCACTTCCTTTGCTACATGGTGAAAAGCCGGTGCCTTCCTAGGTATTTTCCAAGTTCTTGAGTCTGTGATGTCACTAAGAGGACAGGTGGAGTCCACCTGGGCACAGTGGTTTCAGCCAGTAGTGACTTCACCTTTTATGCCTGAGGCAAGGCCACTGGAGCAGGAAGTCTGAACAGATGGTTTTCTTCCCGTCTGTCCGGGGCCACTCTGACTCTCTTTTTCCTTTCTTCCTTAATAGCCATGGGAGTGGTTGTTCAGGAGGGAACCCTGCTAAACTCCCTTTTCTCCATTTACTCTCACTGTGCTCTCACACTGGGGCTGTCCTGTCCCTTGGGTAAAGAATCTTCTTCACTCCTTTTGAGCCAGCCCCAGGCTTCTACCTGCCACCATCTTTTGGCTGCTGTGCTTGCCCTTACCCCTTTTGTAGTTGAATAAGAACTCACTCACTCTCTCTGCCCCTCCCCCGTTCATGCTCTGTCTCTCTCTGTCCCAAAAATAAACGTTGAAAAAAAAAAAAAAAACAAAAAACAAAAAACAAGAAAAAAAGGGGCGTTAAGTATGGTCGGTTAAGCGTCCGACTTCAGCCAGGTCACGATCTCGCGGTCCATGAGTTCGAGCCCCGCGTCAGGCTCTGGGCTGATGGCTCAGAGCTTGGAGCCAGTTTCTGATTCTGTGTCTCCCTCTCTCTCTGCCCCTACCCCGTTCATGCTCTGTCTCTCTCTGTCCCAAAAATAAATAAACATTGAAAAAAAAAATGAATAAGAACTCACTGCCCAGCCTGAGTTAGGAGAGTTAGGTTGAGAGCCCTCACCAAGTTGCCTGAATGTACCGGCCTCCCTGCACAGCTCTCTTAGATCGGCTGTCAAGTCACTGGTCTCACTGGAGTTTTTCCTTCAGTTATTTCCTGCCTGAGTTAGAGTGACCACTGCCATTCTGTGAAACCAAGCCCTGAAACTCTTTGGGGCTTTATTTTCAGCAATGACATCCCCTCACCTTGAGATAAGTTGCTCCCTGTCATCTGCACCTGACCTTAGCTTCTGACTTTGAGATGGGTTCATCTCTACAAATTTACATTGTGAACCTCCTGTGTGCCTGGTACCATGATAAAAATCTCAAGGCTTCTGATGGTTTTGCTTGTCTCATGCCTGTCTTTCGTGTCTGCCCTGCCTCTGCCTTCACTTTGCTGCTTAATGATCTCTAGGCCCCAACTCTCTCTCCCTTCCCGGCAGTTTGGTTTTACAAACTTCCTCTCCTGTCCTGCGTTAATAGCTTTCAGCTTCAGAGGCATGATTTATGCTTCCTCAAAAGGTGAGGGTTTATTCTCTGAATTATTATTTCTTTTGCAGTTCTAGCGTGGTAAATCCAGCTTCCACCGTGATTGATATGTCCCAGGAAAACACAAGGAAGTCAGCTGTGTCTCCGGCTAAGGTAGATTGAGCTCAGACTCCAAAAGTCTCATTTTTGGCAGGAATGCCATTTTTCTCATTGTATCAAAGTACCATGATATGAAGAGGATTTTGTAGTCCTTTTTTGTACCAAATATAGATAATTTTTACTATTTTATGTAAGAAGTCACTCTTGTGGTGAAAAAGTTGGTGAATACCGTATTTCTACATTGCTGAAGACCCCAATTTCTTGCCCTAGAGAATAAAAAAAATCCCCTGTTGGGGATTGCTGCTTTTAAGCATATGGAAAGTAGCTTGTTAGTTCCATATCAGTCCATGTTCCTATTCATAGCTTCCTGAATCTCTGTTTGAGTTCTGCTTATGGGAGGGTATTGCCAATTTATGAAGGTCAAGACAATAAGCATATTCAGTCTTATATTAATAAAAAAATTCTATTTACTGTTCCCCTTTCTGTCATTGGAATTGATGATCATAATAGTGATTATGAAGCACTCCAAATACCTTGATAAGTGTCTTTTAAATCTTTATAGGAAAGGTCAGTTACAATTGTATTTAGTTCAGCTTTAATCTAGCACAGTGAGAGTCTTTTATGTAGAAAGAGCATTGGGGGAATCTGCCCTGATCAGTCTCAGCTTTACCCTAACCTAGACTAGGCCCAAGTTTTCTCACCTTTGTAAAATGTGAGGTTTAGATTTTAATGCCTGGTTCTGGTCTAACTTTGTAGGACTCTGGGATTGAGTATATTTTATACAGTTTAATTCTGGTCTGGCATATTTGGTAATTCTGTGTCAGCCACATTAACCAGGACAGTAATTTTTCAAACATGCCAGACAGAGTTTACTGGATGAAACTATCAAGTTTTGGAACTAATAAGCATTTGTTAACACTGAGTTGCTGCTATGACGTTTAAAATGAGTTTAATAAACAATATTTTTCCCCAGCAAAGGAAGAACCCATTTAATAGCTCCAAGTTGCCAGAAGATCACTTATCTCAACAAACCAAAAGTGAGCCGTCAAAAAATGGAAAGGCTGGTTTCTTTCAGACTTCAAAAGAAGGTAAATATTATTTTTATGGACTAGATATTTGTATCTTTGTTATCTGTGGACCAAGGGAAATTCTCAGAGTTCCTTTAACTAAAAGAACTTTCAAGAGAACGTGAAAAGTCCTGATGATTTTCTTATTCTACTGTGCCCATTGGTTTCCTGCCTGAGGGAAGGAAGCAGAAATTTTAGAAACTGGAAGTTCACGCATTCCAGTCTTGGAGCTCACACTTGTTGTTTGACCTCCAGGCCTTAGGTTCCCCCTCAGTGAACTGGGGAATTTTTTGACCAGAGGCGTTCATTCATTCATTTAACAGCACATATTGGCTGTGTACCATGTGAGGACATTCTTTGTGTAATGAAAAGAGTTTTTGCCTTAAGGAAAAAAGGCCACTTGACAATGTTATGATCCTCTAATCTGTAATTATCAGCCTAGTCCCTCAGGAGGCATTTGATCAGGTTTGTGGCTTAATTGATTTAAGTCTGCCTTTTACAGAATTTTACCGTTCTTCCATACCATTAAGAAGAAATACTAGACAATTCAGTCTCTTCAAAAGCAACTATAAGAAGAGCCCTCAGGCATTAAAAATTGGACAAGGGGTAGAAAATTAACATTAAATAGTGGAGTTGGAGTATCAATTATCCTGTTTTAATATTAGTGTACTTCCCCCCTCCATTGGATACACATTATATTACGTAAAATATTTTACAGGAAAAAAGGCACTGGAACATGCTACCCATTTTTTTTTTAACTTTTTGGAAAAAACTAATTTTTGTTTTAGAGATTTTCTTTTTTAAAAAAAATCGAGATTTTCTTTTTAAAACATTGAGTTCCTTTTTCTAGTTTCCATACGTGAATTAAAAAAAAAAATTTTTTTTAACGTTGATTTATTTTTGAGAGTGAGAGACAGGGTGCGAGCAGGGCATGGGTAGAGACAGAGAGGGAGACACAGAATCCGAAGCAGGCTCCAGGCTTTGTCAGCACAGAGCCCAGTGTGGGGCCTGAACTCACAAAGCACGAGATCCTGACCTGAGCCGAAGTCGGACACTAAACTAACTGAACCACCCAGGCACCCCAACATATGTGAATTTTTTAAGTGACTTCTGTGTTTTTCCTTAGCCTCCTTAAGGAATTTTAAAAATTTTTTCTAAAAACTTTTTTACTGAGTATAAAAATACCTCAAAGTATGGATGTAAAGCACAGTAATCTTAAATGTACAGTTCAGTGAAGTTCATGAATGAATTTTATAATGCTTTCTTTTAAAAAAATTTTTTTTTTCAACGTTTTTATTTTTATTTTTTGGGACAGAGAGAGACAGAGCATGAATGGGGGAGGGGCAGAGAGAGAGGGAGACACAGAATCGGAAACAGGCTCCAGGCTCTGAGCCATCAGCCCAGAGCCTGACGCGGGGCTCGAACTCACGGACCGTGAGATCGTGACCTGGCTGAAGTCGGACGCTTAACCGACTGCGCCACCCAGGCGCCCCATAATGCTTTCTAATTAGGTCTGCACTTACACGAATACTTTGTTATCTTTAATATTTTATTTTACTCTTTTTGCTAAATGTACATTAAATTCGTGATAGGTGTTTTAAATTAGGGTTATTCTCCATTTGGTATATCACCTAACATGTTTTAATTTTCAGGTGAATTGTCAGAGTCAAAAGAAGAATTGTCGATCCCAGATATTTCAAGCCAAAATTTAGAGAAACCAAAGCAGACATTTCCAGGCCCTGAGAATGGATCTCAGATCAAAGCTCCAATCCCCAAAGCCAGGAAAATGCTCCACAAATCACATGAGTTAAAGCAAGATGATAACCAGCCTTTTCCTAGACAAAGGACAGACTCCCTGGGTGCAAGGGGGGCTCCGAGAGGGATCCTGAAGCGCAACTCCAGTTCTAGCAGCACAGACTCTGAAACGGTTCGTTTTCTTCAGAACTTTGAACCCAAAAGCAAAATTGTGTCACCTGGCCTAACCATCCATGAGAGAATTTCTGAGAAGGAGCATTCCTTGGAAGATGACGACTCTTCAAACTCCCTGGAGCCATTAAAACATGTGAGATTCTCTGCAGTGAAGGATGAACTCCCACAGAGCCCTGGGCTAAGCCACGGCCGGGACATAGGAGAATTTAGTGTTTTAGAATCTGACAGATTGAAGAATGGAGCAGAAGATAAAGTGGACGTAGATGAGTTTTGGAATGACCCTAAACCTCCCCAGTACAGAAAGCCTTTGCCTTTACATCAATCAGCCTCAAGCCCAAGTGCATCAAAAAATGAAACATGTCAGCCAATGACTTCTGGTTCTTTTCCAATTAATGGGCACCGTTCTCCCTCACAAGTTTTAACTACAAGACCAGAGTCCATTGAGAATTCACCTACCATCAATGAACACAAAGCCAAACCATCAGAATTGTCAAGGCTTAAATCAGAATTGTCCAAAAGCCCTGCTGGTAAGAGTTGTTACTACCAGGCTATAAAAACCAACCCAATGGGTTTGGAATGACAAAGCCCAGCCCTGTAGAAGCCCCATTTTGCCTCTTAGACATTTCAGCTACAATTCAGGCAGGTGCCACTGGGGAATGATTATACTACCTTCTAATGGGTTTGGAGGTAGTATAATCACCAGTAAATAAAGGGATAACTCAAACTAAAACCAGGCACACCTGGGTGACTCAGTTAAGCATTGGACTTCAGCTCAGGTCATGATCTCATGGTGAGTTCGAGCCCCACATTGTGCTCTCTGCTGTCAGCATGGGTCCCTCTTCGGATCCTCTGTCTCTCTCTGTCTCTGCCCCTCTCTCCTCATGCTTGCTTGCTCTCTCTCTCTCAAAAATAAACAAACATGAAAAAAACACACACACACACTTTCTGGCCCATTATGCTTTTCACTAAAAATTGTTAGCTACCAATAATTTAACTAAACAAATTATAATGTTTTGAGTTAAATCAAGGTGTGTATATAGAGTAAGAATTAAATATATGCTAATATCTTTGCACAGTATATATTATTCAGTTATTTTATCAATTACCTTTAATCAAACTTTGATATTTTTTTTTGAAAGAGAGAGAACAGGGAAGGAGCAGAAAGAGAGAAAAATCTTAACCAGGTTCCATACTCAATGCAGAGCCTGATGTGGGGCTCAATGCCAAGACCCTGGGATCATGACGTGAGTTGAAATCCTGAGTCAGACGCTTAACTGACTGAACCACCCAGGAGCCCCTGACTTTATTTTTAACCTCAGAAGAACCTTCACTTTGTTAGCTCTGAAGGATGGGAACTTAGAGTTCTAGTACTTACTATGAAAAGCCTCAGACCTTGGCTTGCCTGGGGCCACCAGCCATGTGTTCTTAGATGTTAAAAGCGCAGAAGGAACTTTCTCCTTAAGCTGCTGTGAGCAGAGAGGTGAAGGGAATACTGCTTTTTCCTGCTATCTAGATAACTAGCCCTCTCTTGAAAATCTTACACCTCTCAGGAGATGAGACACTGTTTTCCCAGACCCATGTGATTACTTCATAATTCTTATGTTTTATAAAACAGGAACAATGGAAAAAATCATGTTGTATACTCTTTCCCATCTTCAGTAATTCTTCATCCAGCCCTATGATGATGTCTTTGTAGTCCAGAAAATTTACAATAGCAGCAGCCACGTGTCTGATGCACTCTCTCTCCTCCTTCCTTATTAGTCAGTACTAAGTTAACTCTGAGTCACTTTTGCTCAGCCCTACAGTTTTATACTTGTTCAGATCAATCCTCTTCTTAAAGAGCAGAGCACTTTCAATCACCCCCCTGCACCCCAGACATTTTAGTTATTTGAACACAAAGGAATATTTTTTTAATTAAAAATTAGCAGGTGATTCTTCAATAAAAACACCTCATGTTAAAGAAAATTACTAAAGTTTCATAAACACTGGCAAATAATTCTATGGTGTTTACTTAAATATTTATTCAAAAGATGAAAAAATTCTTTAATAATATTTTCATTTACTATAATCCACAGAAAAAAATTGGTAAACCTTTCCTGTTTTTCAAACTGCACCTGCTTTCCCACAAACTACAATTATGTATTAACTATTTGTGTTTTCTGATTTTTATTTTTTTTTTCAACGTTTATTTATTTTTTGGGACAGAGAGAGACAGAGCATGAATGGGGGAGGGGCAGAGAGAGAGGGAGACACAGAATCGGAAACAGGCTCCAGGCTCTGAGCCGTCAGCCCAGAGCCCGACGCGGGGCTCGAACTCACGGACCGCGAGATCGTGACCTGGCTGAAGTCGGACGCTTAACCGACTGCGCCACCCAGGCGCCCCAGTGTTTTCTGATTTTTAAATCCCAGCTGACCAGGAAATTTGGGAGGAAGGCATCATCAGTTACACCTGTTTTGATTGACGGGCCTCCTGGCCTTATAGCTTATATACAAAGTTCTACTTACTTATTAATGCCTTGCTTACCAAAAAAATATATACAAGTAAATAATGAAGCGTAAAAAGAAAACAGGCTCCCAAAAATGATAAATGCAAAGTACGTGAATTGTAAGGGTTTAACTTTAGCTCTGAGCTTCAGGACAGTCAATATCACATTCATTACTACCTGGAAAATACAAAAGAACTCCTCAGAGGAAATTAAACATTACCTGGCATCAAATATTTAAAATAACTGTTCTTATTTTAAAACTAATATACTTTTGGGGCTCCTGGGTGGCTGTGTCAGTTAAGCATATGACTTCGGCTCAGGTCATAATCTCACAGTTCGTGGGGTTAAGCCCTATGTCAGGCTCTGCACTGACATCTCAGAGCCTGGAGCCTACATAGGATTCTGTGTCTCCCTTTCTCTCTGCCCCTCTGCCTCTCATGCTCTGTCTCTCTCATTCTGTCTCTCAAAAATATATAAATATTAAAAAAAAATTTTAATAAAAAATAAAAGTAATATAGTTTTGTTGTAAAACATTTGAAAAGAAGTGCACACAGAATGAAACAAATATTATCTGTGATGTCATCAGCCAGCATTAGCCACAGTATTGCTAACATTTAATTGTAGAGCCTTTCAAAAATTTTCAAGCATGACTATAATTTTAAATTATGTTTATACTGCCAGATTTCTTTTTTTCCTTATAGCATATTATAAGCATTTCTCCATCATTAAATAGTCTTCTGTTATACAAACTAACACAGAATTCTTAAAGATTTCTCAAAAGAACTTCACAATTATTGACATATATTCAATAGTACAATGGGTAGTTACCGAAACCAATATCAACCATGTGCCAATTATTGTGTAACACTTTGTTGTTTTCACGCTTGGCCAGAGTTGATGATTAAAATTAAAGATAAAATTTTATTAATTGAGATGTCCTCTAGTGCATTTGAAATGTAGCTGATTTCATAAAAATTCTGCTGATGTAATTTTTAGGAACATGTATTGCATAGCTTAGCATTTGTAAGGAAGAGGGAGAAATGCTGAAACACTGGAGTCTTTTTTTTTTTTAATGTTTATTTATTTTGAGAGAGAGAGCAAGCCAGCATGTGCATGCATGAGCAGGGGAGGGACAGAAAGAATGGGAGAGAGAGAATCCCAAGCAGGCTTTATGCTATCAGAGCAGAGCCAGAGGCAGGGCTCCGCACCGGGCTCAATCCCGCAAACCATGAGATCATGAGCTGACCTGAGATGGAGTCAGATGCTTAACCAGCTGAGCTACCCAGGTGCTCCTGAAACATCCAAGTCTTAACTAAAGGGGAGAAATGCCTGAGCTCCCTTATCTAAGTGTACCGTGTGCCCAATAATTAAGGCTCAGACAGGATTCTCTCTGCTTTCTTGATAGCTTAGCATAAACTTAAATATCCTTCTCTAGCTTCCTAGCCATTGGTCAGCCAACATCAGGGAACAAGTTGAGATCACATTCTCCATCAGTCTTCAGTTTAGTTTATTTGGCTCATAGAAACTACTAAACTCACAAACTATATCAGGGAAATGGAAGATAACAGAGGAGCCTCTTGAGATCATGGTCCTCAAACTCCAGTATGTAGAACAATCAGTGGGATAACTGTTAGTAAAGATTCCTGGGCCCCTCTTCAGAGATTCTGCTTTAATGTAGCAGGAGTAAGGCCCAGGAATGCAAATATCTTCATTGTAACATTCTTATACTCTGGCGGAAGCTCCAGAAAGTTGTTTTCCCAATTCCTGAATCTTCTGGTCTATGTTCCTCAAATGTGGGTATAAGCCCCCTCTAATGTTTATGAGTATGCCAGTGGATTGGTGGAGTCACAAAATCAACATGTTGTATCTTCTTAGAGTGTCAGTTTTATACATAGATTTGAGAGTAGAAGAAAATATTTAAAATGTAACATAGGGGCACCTGGGTGGCTCAGTTGGTTAAACGTCCAACTTCAACTCAGGTCATGATCTCATGGTTAGTGGGTTCAAGCCCTGCATTGGGCTCTGGGCTGACATCTTGGAGCCTGGAGCCTGCTTCGAGTTCTGTGTCTCCTTCTCTCTCTGCCCTTCTTCTTCTTGTGCTTTGTTGTGCTCTCTCTCTCTCTCTCAAAAATAAATGTTGAAAAAAATTTTAATGTAACATAGATCAGAATACTAAATTCACATGAATTTTTACTTTATTTTAATTTAGCTCTACCCCTGACATGGGGCTTGAACTCATAACACCACAAGATCAAGAGTCACATGCTCCACCGACCAAGCCAGCCAGGTGCCCCCATATGAATTTTCAGTATAAATCAGAGACTTCAGAGGAATTTCTCAATTGGGTCTATATCCCATATTTCAGAGGTCTACATTTACCTTCCTTTACTGTCATAGAGCAACTCTAATAGAATATCTTAATTAAGATTGTTTATATTATAGCCCCTGAAAAGTGTGAATATAAACAGCTAGTGGTATGGAAAGTGTAAATACAAAGTGCCTCTTCAAAAGATAATGTGAGTGATTGAATAATAATTCTTTAAGCATTCTCTTTTCTTATTTAGAAAAGCATTTCTGTGTTGCAGATGGACTGTCTTGTGTTGAGCCTGAGCCATCTCAGGTGCCAGGTCACAGTTCTAGAGACCATCAGCAAGGTAAGCCCCCTCTTCTCAAGGCCCTAAAAGCAATGACGTCCTCACACTCTGATCCATTTGCCACTGAGATAAGGAAGACAACTGATGATTCCATATCTAAAGTCCTAGACTGGTTTAATCGAAGTTGTCATTCAGAAGACAATAAGTCATCTCTCCAACATCCCCAAGGAATAGAGCCCAAAGAAGAAATAGACTCAGAATCACAGGTTGCTACTACCTTGGTGACAGATGACACCAGTGTAAAAGAAAGTGGTTCAAAGGCTCTATTATCTGCCAAAGTTAAACTGACGCCTGTGGAATCTGATTTGACATTCCAGGAAAAGGGAAATATGCTACCTTCTGGAAATTGCCAAAATAATAATGTGAATATCAAACCCAAACCTATTAATTTGTTCCAACAAGGCAAGGAAGGTCCAGGCATATTGCAATCATGTGAAATCTATGACCCAAATCAAGGGAGTAAAACTATGGACTATAGCCAAGGTTCGAAAAACATAGGAGAAGGAAATCGGGTACTTCCCCCAACCAGTAACTATTCCCACAGTGCTGTCACAGGACCTGATGCAGAAGACCAAGTTCCATGCAACATTAAGGCTATTGGCACCTTAGGTGAAGAAGAGCCTAAGCTTCATGGTTTTGAAAAAAGTAGAGGAAACTCAGAAGTGAATTTTGACTCTTCAACACTTGTCAAAGAACCAAGTTTGAAAGACAACATGAAGACAGAGAAAAAGAGCAAAGAAGAAGATACATACATCCTGAAAGCTTCCTTAGAGCCAGAGTATATTGAGTCACCACATGGAATTGCCAAAGACAAATCTTGGAAGAAGCCTGAAGTCCAATTACAGGATGCTGTTGAGGCTCCCAAGAACCAAGTACAAAGAGAGAAATACAAAAGAGTAAGTGACAGAATATCTTTTTGGGAAGGTGAGAAAGCTGCTGCTAAATTAACTCATAAAGAACCCACATCATCATGCAGTCAAGGGCGACCTTCTGCTAAAGCATATCAGCCTGTGAAGTCCATGGACAATTTATCTACAGGCCAGACTGAATATAATCAAGTCATTAGCAAACAAGTGGTCCTAGATGACAATGGCCACATAGCCCATCTCTCCAGCTTTTATTCCTCGAATAAATCTAAAGAGACCAGGCCTCAGAAACCAGGTCCATCCAAAAATTATCCTTCAGTTGACCAATCAGGTGAAATGTCTCCTTTTCAGAATAGGATAAATGAGCCTATAAAAATGTTGCCAGAGGCTGAGAGCTGGCATTATAAAAGGGATCTTACTTTACCATCATGGCAACATCCTTCAAATGTTGCGAATGGAATATATACTCCTTTGGAGAAAGACAGATCCCTAATTGGTGAATCAAATCCCAACTTTAAAGTTATGTCCCTAAAAGAAAGAATGGATGAACCCAATATGGAACAGTTCTATAATCACTCTCAATTTGAGAATTTGAGAAAGTTTTGGGACTTAGGAGCCAATACAAATAGTCAAGACAATGTTGAGAAGAATACTACCATAGTAAGCCAAAAACCTTTGGTGCCTTTTAATAGCCAGAAACACAAAGAACTCAGTGACATTAAATCATCACGAAAAAATATCCATGAAATAGGGACACTTCCAGGTAAAAAAAAATTACCAGCAAGAGAGGAAATTGAGAAATTAAATTCAAAGTGCACACTCCAGGTGTTACCAGACAAAACCACATTTCCATCGAGACCATCCAGAAAGTCTGTTCATCAGTTGCCAGGAAATGAGTCATCAAAGGAAAATGCGAAAAAGAATACGGAATGGTTTGTTACACCAGTGTTCAAGGAAGAAAAGGATTACCCAGACCAAGAGATACAAGAATCAATAGTAAAAACAAGTGTTTTGTCTAAAGACTACAAAGACACTTTTAATGACAACTTACAGAAGTTACTTTCAGAAGCTTCATCACCAGCCATGCAAACTTCTGTTGGAAAAGTTCATGAAAAACAAGTGCCTGAACGAGAGATTTCTGGAAATAAAACATGGCCTCATGACACAGATTTTGTTGATACTGAGGGAGAAGACAGAGGACATGAGGAGATCATTAATGAGCATGTAGACAAAACAGTAGCTCCTCCAAAGGTCAAACCGAACACTTTGACTGCTAGTCTAGACAAACTCCTGAAGGAAGCAACTGGGACTTCACCTTCTCCCTTACCAACCATGTTAGAACCTGTTACCATTAGGATCAACTCTGAGCCTGAAGAGAGTAGAGTTTATGAAAAAGGGATAGAATGGAGTCACAACATATCAGACTATCAAAAAGAGATAATAGCTCCTTTTCCAAAAGGGGAAGAAACTTTGGGAAATGCAGCTCTCCTTCAGAAAGCTGAAAGTGGTGAGTGCCAGCTAAACACGGAGGATTTGTGTCAGATGGCTGCAGAAAGTTCTCACTCATTGGGTCGACCTTCTCATCTATACAGAAAGGATTCTTTTGGGGATGTGGCCAACTCTCCCCAAAAGATGCCTTATTCCAGGGATGCTCATCTTGCTCCCCAGGATAAGGCATTACCTTCACAAAGGGAAATTTCAGAGACTGTGGAAAAAGTCATTGTTCCACCTAACCCTGCCTTGAAGTATGTAAATGCTACATTACAAAAGCTACTTAGAGAAGCTTGGTTGAGCTATCCAGTTGGGAGGGGAGTAGTGCCTGGAGAAGTAAAAGCAGAATTTCCTGAAGGAGTTGAGGCAGCAGGTAGCCCCCAGAATTCTACACCATGGGCTATAATGGACATTTTAATTCCAGACAGAAAGGATTTTTATCCCTTCACCGTAGTTCCTGATAAAACTCATAAAATTGGATCTTACTTAGCTGCCCGAGTATCTCCATCAGAACAAACCCTTTGTTCATCTGATTGCACTGTTACTCAGTATGGCAAAAAGTTATCCCAGGAAGTGGCAGAAATTGTGAAGGAAACAGTTATTCAACCTAAATCAGAGTTCCTAGAATTCAGTGCTGGCTTAGAAAAACTACTGAAGGAAGCAGTTGAAAGCCCCTCCTCAAAAAATGAAAGTGATACAGGGACTCTTTCTCCATCAAAGCTAACAGGTAGTACTGAGGTGCCCAGGCAAGCTGCTTCTGAATTCCATCCTGAGGAAATCAAAGAAACAGTAAAAAAGTCTGAGGTGCCATCAATAACTGAGAGTGCTTTTGATATGGGTTTTGAGAAACTTTTTAGAGAAGCATCGGAAACTCCTTCTTACCTGCTCCAGTTGTCAGTGAAGGAAGAAACTCCCGAGAAGGAGTGTCCACAGTCAGAGCAGGACAGTTTCTTGAAGACAGTGCCCCATTTTTACTGGACAGCCTCAGAGGCCTCTGAAAGGAAGCTTAAGAATAATGTTCTCAAATCTCAAGTCAACCAGTGTGATGAAGTGTTGGGCGGACACCAAGCTATGACTGATTTATCAGTAGATCTTTGTGGTCCTGACAGTGGGGTTGAGATCTTTGGAACCCCACAGCTCTTTGCAGAACATAAAATAGGGGTCACTGAAACTATAATAGCCCCAGAAGACAGGGACAGTGAAAGTCAGGTTGCAGGGGTTCAAGAAGGGACTTCTCAGGAACCTGGCTTTGAAAAGGCTCCTAAAGCAATGAGTGTGTCCACAAATAGGCAACCCATTTCTATCCTGACAGACAAAGCAAACCCTACAAAAACAAGTAAAGTTGAATTGATTCTGGCATCACCATGTAAGAGAGAAGAGAAAAAGGAAGAGAAAGAAGGTTTCTCTGACTCTGATTTTTCAGATGGAAACATTGGTTCCATTGCAGAAAGCTGGAGAAATACCTCTAGTGAGCATTCTGATTTTTTTAACCTGTTGGTTAATGAATTGATTTGTGGAATGCTGATGTAAAAGATGATACAGTTTTTACAATTGAGATTAATTTGACATTCCAAGTGGTGCTAAATTCTTCATATCACTTTAGCTCTACCTAGCCTTTCTTAATGAAAAGCTACATTTCCTCTTATATTCTTCTTTTTTTTCAAGTTTATTTATTTATTTTGAGAAGGGGGGTGCAAAGAGAGAGAGAAGGAGAGGGAGAGAATCCCAAGCTGGCTCAGCATTGTCAGTGCAGAGCCCAGTGTAGGGCTCGAACTCACAAATCATGAGATCATGACCTGAGCCAAAGTTAGATGCTTAACCAACTGAGCCACCCAGCCTCCTTTTTATTCTTTAATCAAATCAGTTACATAGAGACAGTTTTACCCACAGGCAGTGTTTCAGAATCTGACTTTATTCTCATTAATCACAATAGAATTTTTAGGTTTTAAAAGTATTTTTTAAAGAACTTTTTGGGTTTAGAAAGTACTTCTAAAACATCCTAGCTAGTTTTCCTCCTGGACATAATTAGAATTTCATTCTTAATGGGCAATCCACACAGAAGTCTCTAGTAAGATTTGTGGCAAGACAGTGCCACAAATGGACAGACATTTCCCTTTTAGGATGAATATTTTACCACAGTAGGGGCTAAATACCAGGAACAAAGTGCAAGGTTGGAACTTTCTTTCCATCAGATACATAGTACTGTGGTGTTTTGTTGCCACTCTTTTCCTCTTGTGTTCAGTTATCTGCAGAATCTTTCCCTTCTCTAGAGTATGACTTTGGTCAGATGAATTCACCTGATTCCACCTGAAGGCATTGCCTGGCCTGCTGCATTTCTTTGACTCCAACTTTGGCCAAATGGATGAAGATCTTAATTGATTACCACATTCATCTGAGCGGACTTGGGGGTAGTGGTTTCAGCCAGGCTGTAAGACACGGGGCTTGTCTCTGTTTGCTATTGTGATCAACATGGGCATTTTAGAAGAGAAACCCAGAGACAAATAGGAATGAGAAGTTACCCAATTATAGTGATTAAATGATAAAGGATGCTCTTTGGGAGGGACATTTTAACCAAAGTTGCACAACAGCTAGTGTCAGTCACCCTCCTAGTAGTTTTAAAAATTTGTCATTTTTGAGTCCCCTCAGCATCGATGAGAATGAGTAAGTCTTACTGGGTGGATGACTTGTGAGGTTTGGTTTCCTTTGCAAGTAACTGTAGTCTTCTCTTCTTGAAAACTGACCAAAGTATCCCCTTTAATCCTAATTAATCAACTTGGAGCCCCTTTAACAAAGGTTGTTGGTAAGCAAAGGAAAGTGATATACCAGTCTCTGAAACCAGACATTTGCAAGAGTATAAGTCAGTATGTTAAACATGCTGAAGTAGACTTTTACTAAAGTACCCCATTAGAGACGAGGGTGAAGTGACCCTAAGAGGGTAAATTTGTACTTACTTTGGAGACTATTGCCTAATGTATATAGCTTTGTTTATAGTATATCAGGATAACCAATTAGACAGTAAAAAGCCTATCTAAAAATGAAATAATATTAAATAACCACCCAGAGCTTAGAGAAGATATTTAAAATTCATAAGCCAATAAGAGGTATAAATTATTACAGTTGTAATTTTATATCCCCTAACCTAAATTTTTATTTGAAAACAAACAGATGGGGGTAGGGTGGGAGAGGGAGGAAGCTGGCTACAGTAGCACCACAATTTGGGTGAGCAACTTAACATGTTTGATATGTGGCTGAGCTCTTAACCAATACCTCGGTATGCTCCTTACCAAAAAAAAAAAAAAAAAAAAAAAAAAAAAAAAAAAAAAGTTTCCATGATTAAATACATTTGGAAATGCTGGGAAATTATGCACGTTATTAGCATATTAAAGTCTATAAGAAGATCTGTAGTAAGAAACCTTTAAATCTGAACACAGAGCATCTCATATCTAATTCATCTTAGAGTCCATTTGCTCTAGAATGCCTGTTAACACTGGGGAGAACTGGGATGCGTTTCAGGAAAGTACTGTGTGGAGAAGTGCTTCCCAAATTCATTGGCCCATTAATGACATCATGCAGTGATTTAGCAAACATTTTTTGTTTTTAAGTAGGCTCTACATCCAACGTGGGAATTGAACTCACGACCCTGATATCAAGAGTCACATGCTCTCCAACTGAGCCAGCCAGGCGTGCCTGGCAAACATTTTTGAAGTGCTTACTGTCAGCCACTGTTCTAGGCACTAAGAATACAACAGTGATAAATGACAACATTCAGACCAGGGCTAATCCATGATGGAGTTTTCACTGTCAAAATGAAAAAGTTAAGAGCCATCTAGAGATATTTTTTTTATAACATTAGATGTATTTAATTTAAAGGACTATTCTTATTTTGAGATTATGCCCTTTTTCTTTTTTTCTTTTCGTCCTAACATGCCTTTTTAAAAAATGAATACAGGTATTAGTACATGATACAGCCACCTCCCCTCCCCCCCCTTGACTTTAAATTGACTTAATTACATAAAAAGTTGACTATTTCATGTCATTTCCCAACATTTTGTTGGAAACTTTACTACCTCATGAAACCCAAAAAGCCTACATTCTTCATCTGGGGAATTCGCCCATCTGTGTACCTGATTATACACAGATGTTAAACATCTGAATCCTGCCTTCTATGGTTTTCAGCTAATTGTTTTAATGCTCCTAAAACCACTTTGTGGTTGTCTTCAAAAGCTGGAAGTGAAGTGGAAAGATTCAAAGTCTGGCACAGAACAAATCATGTGCCTAAAATAGAGGTGTAGACGACTAAGAGATCACTCTTCTATTTATGTGGTAATCTTGTTTCTTTATGATTTATGCTTGCAAATATTTCTTGACCAGGGAAATGGTTTTTAAAGGACATACCAAGAGAGTGGAGAAATTTTTCTTTTCTTTTCTCTTTTTTTTTTTTTTTTTTTTTTTTTTTTGAGAAGTGCTTCATAGAGTAAATACAAGTATAGAGGCTTATAACATAATGCCTGCTTTCAACCTATGATATCAATTTCCACTGGTTTTTAAGAGTTTGGGTGTTTTTTGTATTGTGCAGTGTTCATCGATTTTGTCTTGTAACAGGTTCAGAAGAAGAACCCAGTCCTGTCTTGAAAACTTTGGAAAGGAGTGCTACTAGGAAAATGCCTTCCAAAAGTCTAGAAGACATTTCATCAGATTCACCAAGTGAGAAAATTTGCCCCACTGTTCATGCCCCAGTCTGAGCTTAAAAATGCTTATGTGCTCTTCTGTGGCCTCACCGCATGCTTGTTGTGCACTGAAGCCCCTAAAGGGGGCGTTAACGGATGAGAATAACCTTTCCAAAGTGAGCAGAGTGGCTGGAACTTTTAAAATAGTGCATGAGGTTTGGTTACTAGACACTAGGTTTCCTTGAATTGAAGAATCCAAGTTTGAGTGTTTATTCAAGTACAATGAGTTTTAAAAGATTGGGGTAGCTAGTGGTTCTAATAGTAATAGCTAAGATTTACTAAGCACTGTGTACCAAGACTTGGCTAAGCATTTCACATGCATTATCTCATTTAACTGGCATAAGCAACCCTATGAGGATGAATTGTTATTCCCATTTTAGAGATGAGGAAAATGAAGCTCAGAGAGGTAAAGTAAATTGCTTAGTGTCCTGCAGCAGAACTGTGATTCAGAATTAACAGACTAATACCAAGAGTAGTTATGAAGTGACCATGTTATATGTGACAGTGATGGATGTCTGATGAATTTTACATGATACAGAGATGAATGAGTCCCTAGCTTCAGGGACTGTCCTCTTTCATTCCTTCTTTTCACATATTTCTTTTGGATACTGGAACTATAAGCCCAAAGACTATCTGGCCTGCAATACTTTAGGCACA